TGCAATAGACTATCTTTGCTCTATACAACCACCACAAAGTTCATTAAACTTAAGCTGAAAAAAAATACCATTCTCAACACAACACGTCTTAGGAAATACATATATGTACAATCATTAAGACCTCAGTTGTTTTAATAAAAACCTACCTAGAATGTTTCCTTCCTCAATTTTAACTCATTCTACTTTTCAGACACCTTGACATTTCCCAAATAATTCATGTTTCAAAATAATACTAATCAAGTCTCTCTCCTCAAGGTGCTTTGGCAGCTTCTTAACATTGGTTTCCAAGGTCCCATGATATAGTTTCTACTCATTCCTCTGGCTTCAGGTCTGAGAACCTAGTTCATGCTCTATGCCCTAGCCAGAGTCAAATTTCTTCCAGCCCTCAAATCTATCATGACCCCTTCCACAAATTTCCCATCTTTGCCTGGCCAACTTCTCATCCTTTGTATAAAAGTTTAGATATAAACCTCTTGTATAAAGCACGAGCCCTCCCTGACTCTCCAAGCCACATTAGGCACCTTTACTATGTTCCCCTGACACACTTGGTTTTACTTGTCATTATTTATTGTGTGTCTTTTCCATGCAGCTCATTAAGCAAAGCTGACTTTTGTGCTTCATTATGTATTTCCAGGGCTTCAATTGGAAGATAGAGCTCATGAGACTCAGGGAAGGTTAAGTGAGTGATCTACACATTCCAAAATAGAAGCAATCACATGTGGACCGTTTTTGTCTTTGTCTAGATTGTTTTTCAGATTTTTGAGAATGTTTTATAACCCCCCAGCATGTCTGTGTCCAGGTCGCCGGATGTGTGCTGGTGAGTCATCAGCAAGATGGAGCTTTTCCTGTTTTTCACCAGCCTCCTGCAAAGTTCACCTTCCAGCCACCCCTTGGAGTCTCCCATCTGGACCTGGACATAAGCCTGGACATTGGCTTCACCACTTGACCAGTGCCTCATAAGATCTGTGCTCTGCCCAGGCCTAGGCTCTGCGTATGCCCCAGAGCCTCAGGTGTCACTGTTATCTTGTCCTTAGCATGAATTTCTCCTTCCTGCATTTCGCCGGCCACAATATTCTGCCAAGCGATTGGAGATTATTTAGGCGGTCAGCTGCACTGTCACAGAGTGCTCTCACATCACATCAGAATGAGTTCCTATTCTAATTGCTGTAGTGGAAACATACTGCCATCCTCCGTCCAACAAATAAATAAAACATTTGACAAATAGAACCTTCACTTAGAGCTTTAGGGTTTTTTCTTTCAAACATGAAACGTTTGGTCCTTCTGTCACCAATCAGTAGTTGTAATTGATATGTGTTTGTGAGGGGAAGGTACTTTATAATAATTTGCCCTGAGATCATGGACATCACCAAAATGGCAATGAAAAAAACTGCAATGTAGAAAATTCAGCTCTTAAGTGAGGATCACATCATACTAAACATGAGGCAATGATTTTATTCTATGAATAACTAAAAGCAATGGTTAATAACAAGAGAATTGTTTGGGCATACAGCCAGCTTGCTGAAATCCAAAGAATTCACTCCTGGCTGGGCACAGTGGTTCATGTATGTAATCCCAGCACTTTGGGAGGCCAAGGCAGGCAGATCACTTGAGTCCAGGAGTTCAAGACCTTCCTGGGCAACATAGCAAGACCCCGTCTCTACTAAAAATACAAAACAATAAAAATAAAAATTAGCCAGGCTTGACCATGTGCACCTGTAATCCCAGCTACCCTGGAGGCTGAGGCATGAGAACTGCTTGAACCAGGGACGTGGAGGTTGCAATGAGCTGAGATTGTGCCACTGCACTCCAGCCTGGGTGACAGACTGAGACTCTGTCTCAACAACAACAACAAAAAAGTATTCACTCCTTTTCTTAGCAAAGTTGGAATTTGAAGACCCCCATGTCCCTGTTTTCGGTATTCTGAAGTCCCAGCAAAGGCATGAGCAAGGGACTCCTATCAGCACAATAAAGAAATCATTGCCAGTTCCCTTGAGACACAAAGCATCTTTAGCCTTTATGAAATCAAATACTTCCCATTCATCAACATAAATCCTTCTCCCCTACTGTTAGCTGATTCTTGTCAACGGAAAGATTGCCCTGGATAAAGTTAAACAAAGAAGACTTTATTCAAGGCTATTGCAACAGAGAGGCCAGAATTGTCTAAATGCAACTCTGCTGAAACAAAGAGCAGAAAGGTTTAAAGCAGTGGGGTGAGCTATGAAAAAGTACTGAAGGAGGTTAAGGAGAGTTTCATCAGTACGATATGCCCACAACATTGTGTTACTCCTAAATTTACAAATATTTTCCCCTGCGATAAGATCATCTGTGCTTGCTAATTTGTTCACGTTGAAATCAGGCTCCTACCCTTCCGGAAAGACTGGGAGTTAGAAGGGGTTTATCCCTTGATAACTACTTTTCAAAAAGATGGTTCCTAAGCCCTTGAGAAAGACATTTCTGGAATGTAAAACTAGCAAACTTTTTAATAGATTTACATCTCAAAGGAGAAGAGAATTTATAAATGAAAATTTTCCCAGGAAAACTGTCTAAAGTTTAGTTAAGTTGAGAGGAACATTAAGTGATCTTGGTCATCCCCAACCAGTATTTTCTATAAAGCATTTTTTTTTAATTTTGTATTTTTAATTTTTGTGAGTACATAGTAGGTGTATATATTTATAGGGTACATCAGATGTTTTGGTATAGGCATACAATGTGAATTAGATAAGTCCATTGGAAAATACTCTGGTTCCCTGACTTCCCAGTTGAACTAAATGAAACTGTCAATAATTTTAAAAAATGGAAGCTGCTAATCTTAGTTCATTGTTTGAACATATTTAAGGGGTAGTTCCATTTTCTGAATTGCACTTAGTTCACAAATGGTGTTCAATAATGTATCAGTTAATTCTGAATCCAAAGTCAAAATTAATTAGTGCTGCAGTCCCCAACCTTTTTGGCACCAGGGACTGGTTTCATGGAAGACAATTTTTTCATGAACCACGGGTGGGGAGGGAGATGGTTTTGGGGTGATTGAAGCACATTACATTTATTGTGCACTTTCTCTTATTATTACATTGTATTACATAATAAAATAATTATACAACTCACCATAAGGTGGAATCAGTGGGAGCCCTGAGCTTGTTTCCTGTAATAGTCCCATCTGGGGGTGATGGGAGACAGTGACACTGAAAGTGTGTTCCATATGTCCAGGCTACTCTGTAATCTCATTTTGGTTGCAGCCACTGCAGAAAACCCTGCTTCACAAAGATAAGACATTGAAAATGGAAGGAGGCTTTTCAGTGCTTTCTTTTGTGGGAATCTTAGGATATTCCACCTTGACTTTGATCCAGAACATATGGAGATTTGAAGTTGTTTCAAACAGACTTAAGGCCACCAGATGCAGCTGTACAATTGAAGTACAACTCACTTGCCACTACAAAGCCTGCTACCAGATGCAGGTTAATTGTCACTTGCCACTCACCGATAGGGTTTTGATACGAGTCTGCAAGCAACTGATTATGGTCTCTGTGCAGTCAACCCTCTCTGCTAATGCTAATCTGTATTTGTAGCTGCTCCCCAGTGCTAGCATCACTGCCTCAGCTCCACCTCAGATCATCAAGCATTAGATTCTCATAAGGAGCACTCAGCCTAGATCCCTCACATGCACAGTTCACAATAGGATTCATGCTCCTAGATGAGAACCCAATGCCACTGCTGATCTGACAGGAGGCAGAGCTCAGGCAGTAATGGGAGTGATGGGGAGCAGCTGTAAATACAGAGGAAGCTTGCTCACTTGCCTGCCGCTCACCTCCTGCTGTGTAGCCTCATTCCTTAATGAGGAATTCCTAAATGAGGAACCACAGACCAATACCAGCTCGTGACCCGGGGATTGGAGACCCCTGAAATAGTGGACTACTTTCTCTTGCAGGGAATATAACAGATTTAATTAAAGATCAAGAAATCTAGCCTGGGCAACATGGTGAGACTCCATCTCTACTAAAAATACAAAAAAAAAAAGTAGCTGAGTGTAGTGGTACACACCTGTGGCCCCAGTTACTCGGAAGGCTGAGGTGGGCAGATCACCTGAGGTCAGGACTTTGACACCAGCCTGGCCAACATGGTGAAACCCTGTCTCTACTAAAAATATAAAAAATAGCCAGGCATGGTGGTGCAAGCCTGTAGTACCAGCTACTTGGGAGACTGAGGTGGGAGGATTGCTTGAGGCCAGGCGGCAGAGGTTGTAGTGAGTCGAGATTGTGCCACTGCACTCCAGCCTGGGTGACAGAGTGAGACACTGTCTCAAAAAAAAAAAATCTAATTTTAGTTGCAACCCTATCTTCCTTCCATATTTAGGACTCTATGACTGTATATTGGCAGTGATGTACTTAGTATATCTGCCGTCAGAAACAGTCAATTTTTATATTAATATGAGAAAATAACTTTTAGTAATCATAAAGTAAAACAAATAATAACTTTGCTCTTTTGGTTACAGTCTGATATAATAATATTTCATGTAAATGTCAAGTTAATAAGTAAATTTTAATAAAACTGAAATATCAGCAAAAGAAATGTATTAGTCCATTCTCACACTGCTATAAAGAAATACCTGAGAATGGGTAATTTATAAAGAAAAGAGTTTTAACTGGCTCATGTTTCTACAGGCTGTACAGGAAGTATAGTGGCTTCTGCTTCCGGGGAGGCCTCAGGAAGCTCTCAATCATGGTGGAAGACAAAGTGAGAGCAGGTTGTCTTACATGGTGGGAGCAGGAACAAGAGAGAGAGAAGGGAGGTGCTACACACATTTAAACTAGATCTTGTGAGCACTCACACACTGCAAGAGCAGCACCAAGGGGATGGTGCTAAGCCATTCATAGGAAACCACCACCATGATCCAATCACCTCCCACCAAGCCCCACCTCTAACATTGGGGATTATAATTCAACATGAGATTTGGGCAGAGACACAGATCCAAATGATATGCAGAAACAATTAAGACAACTAAATCGTACCAGTCATGCAATGTTTTATTTTCTTGATTCATTCCTTAGCTTAAAAAAAAAAAAAATAACAACAAAAAAGGATAGCCAGGCATGGTAGCTTGTGCCGATAGCTCCAGCTATTTGGGAGGCTGAGGTGGGAGGACCACTTGAGCCAAGGAGTTTGAGGCAGTGAGTGACAATGATGCCACTACATTACAGACTGGGTGACAGAGTGAGACTCCATCTCTATTTTTTTAAAAAAGAATACATTTTAATTAAAGACATTACTCAAATCCGGTAAAACAGCTCAGCTGTGAAATAAATTTACACTGATCAAAAATAATACATTTTGATGTTTCCTTATTTAAAATGTTACACATAATAAGTCATATATAATGGCATGATTGAAGTAACTCAAGTTCTCTTCCTCAGACACCAAAATTGCTGTGGTGTTGTTTATGTTAAATTTGTTCTTGAAATGCAGGTAATTTATATACAGGGATTGGAGACACAAGGTACACTTAAAGTGAGCTCTAAAGATCTGAACCCAACCAGGCGCAGTGGCTCATGCCTGTAATCCCAGCACTTTGGGAGGCCAAGGCAGGGGGATCACCTGAGGTCAGGAGTTCAAGACCAGCCTGGTCAACATAGTAAAACTCTGTCTCTACTAAAAATACAAGAATTAACCAGGTTTGGTGGCACGCATCTGTAATCTCAGCTACCTGGTAGGCTGAGGCATGAGAATCGCTTGAACCCAGGAGGCAGAGGTTGCAGTGAGCTGAGATCGTGCCACTAAACTCCAGCCTGGGTGACACAGCAAGACTCTATCTCAAAAAGAAAAAAAAAAAAATTACTCTCACAATGAATGCATTTAGTTGAGTCTATGTGTGAGACACATTGCGAGAGAGACAGTGACAGAGGGACAGAGATATTAGGAGGACAACACAGAGGCGTTTCAATGATCTTCCACACAGAAAAAATATAGTAAAGAAGAATAAAAATGTGCTAATTTGAAAATTACATCCGCTTTATTAAAATTTAAGCAATAATCATGAGAATTTTTTAGAATTTAAAACAATAAATTTCTTTTCAGATAGAAGCATTTTATCACTAACTACATGACAGTAATAAAAAGCAAGCCGGGCACAGTGGCTCAAGCCTGTAATCCCAGCACTTTGGGAGGCCAAGACGGGCGAATCACGAGGTCAGGAGATCGAGACCATCCTGGCTAACATGGTGAAACCCCATCTCTACTAAAAAATACAAAAAACTAGCCAGGCGAGGTGGCGGG